TTCCGAGTATGTAGCAGTAGGTACTCTGGTCTTGTATGGAGAGTACCTTGCGTTTGCTTACGTCAAAACTCCGCAGCTTTTTGTTTGGTCACTGCTGTACCATCTCCAATCATGCTGCAGCATATCCAGATCGGCCTCCGACTGCTTCGTGCACTATCTTGATGTCGTCAGCAAACATTAGAAAATTTGAACCCACCGTCTGAGCTAGGTCTTTGACAAATACCAAAAACAATCGTCGCCCTAGAACAGAACCCTGAAGCATGCCATATTCGGCATGTATAGGGTCTGATAACGAGTTTCGAACTCTAACCACCAGCTGCCGTTGTAGGAGAAAGTTGACAACCAGGGTGAAAAGGGGGTCACCAATGCCAGAATACTGCGGATTGGAAAGAGGCATCTGTTGATTCAGGTGGTCGAATTACTTCCATAAATCATAGTAGACCACATGGATGTTCTCGCCTGCGTCAGCTGACTCGGTGCAGCTACTCTGAGCTATCAGTAAAATTGTTGTGCACGATCGCTGTCGATGAAAGCCATGTTGCTCGAGAGCAATGAAGTTGCATTGGCAACAATGGACTCCATGACTTTGGACAGTACAGGATAAAGTGATACCGCTGAAAGAGCTGAGCCAACGGTTCTGCCAGTTGCCGCGAAGCTGCTACCAGTGCTTCCGGGGGGTAATATGGACACCATGGGAACTGTGGTTGAACAGATACGTAAGCTTTTGCAGAACAGCCTCTGCGATAAACGTGATATAGTTGAGTTGCTGCGTTGGGGTAACAAATGATGGTTAGGTCATGTACTCCGTACACCAGTTAACAGCCTTCCTCGGCGAGCATTATATGCCGTCACTGTACCACGTTGGGCGGAACCATGAGGTGTTTAATCGATGACGTGGCATAGCGACATGAAGAAATCGACAGAGAGACTTGGTCAAACAGGTATGTATCATCTTCGTGGATAGGGCCTCGTGTTAGTCCAAACCAATGGTTAGAGACTCTATCGAACGTGGCGCATGATCGGAGTCAGTGCTGCCCCTGGATTCGTCCTCTTGCGTGTAGCTGTTTATACTTCAATGCGATTAGCTTCATGCACCTAGTTCTTGCTTCCATTCTGATAATACCATATTTAGGTCTAACCGCATTTACTTATCATTCTTTATTTTTGCCACTCTGACGACGCGGTTCGTGACAACTGCATCCACTGCACTTTGGTGCCCGGATCATGATTAATCAACTGCATTAAACTGAACTGAAATAACCGGGTCAACTTTAAGTATTCCAGGTTATTTAGGAAAGAGAAATTTTAAATGGAACCTGCCTCACTTAACAGGAAAGCAACATACTACCAAGTCGTTATTATTCATAATGTGAAAGGTCTAATTGAAAGTGATGCTTTTTTCCTACAAAGCTCCTTTAGAAGCTAGATTCCAGTCTACCGGCGTGCTCACCGTAAGTGTGTTTTAACATTAACTATGATATAAATACGGTCACACCGAATACTTATTTCTCACGTGTACGTCAGTCTGTCTACTTTAATGGGAACATAGCTGCGATGAAATAGCAGCAGTTGTGCACCACGTGTACGTTCGTCCGCCAACGCGATGTCCATTTTTTTTACCACAGTAGACCCTGTACGTAACGGTAACTTCAGTGCTACGGCTAAATATCGGTCAGTACAGAGCCCACAGGCATCCAGTTTTCCGCGAAACATTCTGTCCTCAAACACTGACCAGAATGTATCGATCGTTCAAGTATCCCTAGTCTGCGCCTCATCGCGTGAAGCGCTGTGTAAGTTGCGGTACGCAGACGCCGCACTTGGTGCGTAGTGCATCGTGTGAGATCCGCTTGGACCTCCGGACTGCCGTTAGAATTCCTCGGGGTTTTCTCAGGGCACGCAATGTGCGGCAATTTACGGTACGTCCATGACAATCGGTAGACACTTCCCGTCGACACCTTATAAAAGATAGTCAAAAATCATTATACCCCGTTTCTTACAAGTTTAAATCTGTGCCACTATTTGCAACACGTTCTTAACGCAAACGTACATGGGTACCATGTCAATCACAATCCTTTGTTCACGATAGAGCAACGGCTTACTTTGGTATGGTGATAAGCGGCATTATTCTGGATATACGAAAACCGTTTATTTTTGTTGTGCACAAACCGTTGTTTACCTTAGTTGAGTCCTATGGAATCGCTAACTTGCTGCCTAGCTGTATCGACCCATACCTGAATGACCCAACACAGACATTAGCGATAAGTCAACACTTCCGTTCCTGGAAATGACACATCTTTTCTCAATCAATTGCATACATAGCGCATTCAGATTTCTCCTTAAGGAAATCAGGTTCTCCGTGAATCCCTCCAGATGGACGATAACGTTATCAAGCTGCAGCCACGAGGAGCAAAGCATCTTAAATATTGTAGAAAGTAGAAGTTACGATTAATATTCACGCACAATAATGTGCATCGACGGGAATGTTCTTGTGCGTGAATTTTAATCGTGACTTCTACTTTCTACAAACTTTAAACTACTCACAAACATCTAAAATTCCTCTTAAATATGCGTACTTTTTGTGTGATCAATAGCAAATCAGCCGATAGTATAATGGATGAGTACAGATTGTGGGTTGCTATTGCTTCTTTTGCGAATGGCCACTCAATAAAAAGTGGCATTCGGGAGCTTTCGCGCCTGTTGGATGCAAGTTGATAGGGTTCAGGACCATCTTGAGGGAAATATGGAGGGGCATAATTTCTTCAAGGCAGTTGAAAGCGCTACAGATATAATTGCACGCATAACACGAGCGACAGAAAATGTCCGCTGGAGTGACCTTTGTAGCGCCCTAGGTGACAGCTGGTTTTCCAAGTTGGACACATTTGGACAACTTTTGGTCACTCATCTAAATTTCCTTCACAGCACACTTAACATACACCTTGGATGCATTTCTTCGGGTCGCGAATACCGTCAACAACCAGCGGGAATCGATTCCCATTTTAAGTACGCAACATTATAGCTGTAAGCCTGAACCGAAAATTCGTTTGCTTGACCGAAATTTGTCCCAAATATGCCCAACTGTGACGGCCATGGCATAATAACGGGCACACAAGGCACACACAAGAACACACAATGGCACTGAGTAGAATTACGATGTTGCTAGACAGATGACTTATAGACAAAGAACGGCGATGTTACATATTCAGATTAAATATAGCAGCACATCTAGACATAGTACGCCAATAATTTTTATATTTGCATTTTTGCTTCTACGAGTGACAAAATCACACCCAAATGGGACGGCTGGCCGTCCATCTATGCGGACAGGGCGACTAGGAATAAGTATAGTGGTGTCGCTAAAGAGAGGGTAATTGTACTACTGGTTTTGCCATTTTACATAAGTGATATGCTTGATTACAGAATGCATCGAGACTCATTATTACTTGCAGAATCTACTAAATTTGTACACTCCTTTCCGCCTGATCAACTAGTGCTATGCATCAAGAATTTGCGTGATGAATCAGAAGCACTGAAAACATCACGTGAAAGCAGATTTATGATGTTTCCCGCAGTCAAAGTTCGGATGCTTTACAACAGATGTGTACCGGAAGTCTCCGTCTCTTTTGCGGGTGCTCCATCTCAACATCGCAGTCTGTCTGAGGCTCAGATCTTCAATATTGTAGCCGATTCAACTTTTCCGAACATGTCCTAGATCAAGTAGCTAAACCGAAATAGCTGATAGGATACATCACCAGATCGCCTCTGCTGCAAAAGTCCGAATACGGACATTCCAATTACTAGTGCTACTTACGTTAAAGTATTGAAATATAACCAATGGACCCATGCACAGAACAGATAGAATTGCTCTAGAAAACGTCTAGCGTTCATCGAACAACATGATCCTGTAATGGCCATCAAAACCTAAGTAGAAACACGAGTTCTCTACCTCCAAGTTGGCCCACCCTGGCTGCGACGACTGGAGAACGACCTCGCCTTTCTTTAATTTACCATACATTTGCGAGATAGTTGCTATACGCATGGAAGAGCAAGCAAAATATTTGCGTACATTCCTTCCTAGTGACGGCTGCTTATCGGTGTAACAGGCAATCACTGCGACAGAAAATCTGTCTAAGTTTGTGACTCCTTTACAAATCTTTTGCGATACCAAATGGGATCAAGACATTCGGTCTACAACAATCTAGGAGTGCTCCCATTAAACCTTGCCCAAACAACATATAACACAATTAAGTTCTACTCTGTTTCTTGCTACCAATTTCATACAGCTTGTGCATTTTGGGGAGATTCATCGGAGGACTCAGTCAGACAGCCACCACCCATCCATGAAAGTGCTAGGTGAACTTTTCTTCCTATCGGGACATGTCAGAAGCACGCATCCGCTGGATCCAAACCTATAACCTTACTCTTGCGAGTTAGAAACTTATGCCGATGAGCCATGGGCAATCTATGCATCGTAGATTCAAAAGGAACGCACGTTTCGTCAATAAAATATTGATGGATCTTTTTGCTCATAGAGTTCATATACAAAAAGCATCCGGAACAACTGGTTGGTAATACATTCAGACCTTTTACTGAACTGAAAATCTTAATTAACTTACCCAGCTTTGATATATGCAAATGTTCAAATGAGGTTTCCCCAGCTGGGAAAGTATCTTGGCTGTCATGAAATCTACCCATTTATTTGTTTCCTAATATACTATATGGTGTCTGTCAAATCAACTTGAATAGAATTGGCGGCTTTACATGTTTACCAGACTACTTAGGGTTTATTGATGACTGCGAGCGAAACACCCTTCATTGCAGCAAACGACAGGTAAGAAAGTAAGTCTACTCATTTACCAGTGTACATATCCACAGTTTAGTAGTACCTTGAAGTGGTTGTCTCACTGGTGCCACGTGATGCAAGGGAACAATTTGTGTGATCTTTATCATTTGTCGACATATTTATGGTAATGGATCGAGTCAATACGTATATCTTTTTGCAGAGCCACCGGGGCCATCTTGGGCGTAATCGCTGTGGTTCTAGCCCTATTTCTGTTCTTGCTATGCATGCCATGGTCTTGGTGTCATGGTGTCCGGCACTGCAATGACAACCGATCGAACGTACCAGGCACTCGAAGCGATCAAGACGAGGTTGGTTTGGAAGCCTTCACTGGCGGTTTTCGTAAGTGACATGATGAGTAACCTATTGGTTCACAGATTCAGGGCACATGTTTCGCAGATGTTAGCAATCCACACCTTTTCTTTTGAGCCATGTGCTGTGGGCACCTTTAAAACCACCTCTAGAAGTTAGCCAAATACAGGTATTTCAGTGGGACAGTTGGTCAGTCGGCATGTGTCGCTGGCTGGTTGTTGTGGTTGCACTGCAGAAACAAATCATTCCTCGAAAATCAAATTGGCTAGGTCCAAGCCGAATGCACTAGCATACGTATGGGCTACGCTTGACAACCGCAAGATGTGTGAACTACATCGTACCAGGACACGAATACCATAAATAAAAGGATCCTTCATTCTCGATTCCGCACCGCAGAGCACCCAGAACACGTTAGATGCGAAACTTGGACCACCACAAAGTGCAGAACATTGGACTTGGTCTGAATCACAAGCAAGCCAATTCGTCGTCACCATTAGGAAACACATCCGGGTATGGGTAAATATAGCTTCTGCAAAAGCGCTGAGCATGAAATTAGTTCTGTGCATGATCAACAGCACTGGGGGTGGTATAAGCTGTCCTAATCGGGAGGGAACCTCTGTACATACACCTTAGTGGCTGCTGTTGCGGTACTACATGCTTTTCATAACGCTCTCAAATGCGGATTTCAAACTCTCTGTTTCGTACGACAGCATTAGTTAAGTACTGCGAGTAATCTCTGGATACGAGGGACATTGTGGCAGTGACACTGCTACAGGTCTACAAGGTTGTGTCACGGCTCCTAAACTCGGGTCAGTACTTTATTCATCACACATAAACGTAGGATAAATTGCCCACGTCCTGTCCCGGATTCGCTCGTCCTTGTGAACATGAACAACCACAGGACCCCCAGGCCTGCCGAGATACCTCTGTGCTGCATCGCTCATAGCCCCGTCCACACACTCCACATTTAGCGTAAACACCAGGAATCATAATCCGGAAGCATGTAGATGGGGCTCACTATCGATTGGGAGCCAGCGGCCAGTCATTCAACAAGCATATGACAGACGCAATTTCGCGACTTGACTGCAACCTCTTTCACTCTGAGCCTAATGGTTGAGCCTGGCACAGTTACTATGGTGTAACCATTCCCTTCGTCAATAAGTTACCATCTCCTAAAGTCAGTACTGCTAGTATCTAATGCACCTGCATCGTTCGCAACCAGGACCGGTGTAGTACACGGAGGTAGACGTCAACCATACACTGACACATGTGTGGTGGAACTACAGCGAAGATGCGGCACAATATCGCTACGTGTTAGGCAATAAAATCTGAAAAAGGATCAGTTTACTGGTCTCATCTTTAAGACTTGATCTTAACGACCACTCGATGCTCTTCCTGACTGCGGCAGTCTCAACCAACTGAGTTGCTGCACCAGATGGCAACGACATCCAGAAATTACCCGTCTAGAGTTTTTATTTGAGTATCAGACGATTTGTATTACCGACACACGGTCTTTTGTTGTACTACTGGGTGACGGCATTGGTATGGTGATTAGACCACTGTCGATAGGTAGTCTCCTTCTCTTCCCTACATGTGAACCTAGCACTTATTTAAGATAAACTCAACCTGAATTTGCTCCGATGGGGCATCTCTATTTGTATGCGCTGTGTTTTCTAGTATCTGAGTGGCCATAATCAAAAGGCCGATTGCATTCGTTCGGGGTGTATGATCAAGCCGTCCAAGATACCGCAGTGGTAGCGTAAAGTATACTTCATATTTTTGTTTCTGTTGTTGATAGTTTATTCTCTGAGTTTCTGTTACATTTACAAGTTCACTAGGTCAACTGCAGGCATTGGTTGATAGTCATTTTAGAAAACGGGTGTTGATAATGTGTACCGTCCACGCTTCATTGTCTTGCAGAACGATCGACTGTATCGCTGAATGATGTATTATCAATTTGGTTCCTACACTTAGGTGGTCCCCCGAGTTTACTGGTAACCACACTTGAACTTGTTACGAGTGTGCCGTTTGCAGGTTAATCCTGAGTCCGTTGTTATCGCATCTCTGCGATAGCAAGTACTTGGATTGTGTAGTAGAACACGGTTCTCATCTCGGAAGTGTAGAAAGCAGCAGGACTCTGATCTTGATCTCTAAACGTGATATTAAAAGGTACCTGTGTTGATACGTGTGCATGCGCAGTTCCGTTTAGTAACATGACTATGGTTCGGCACCTAAGTATATTGTTGCTAACCATCGAATACCATCTGACTCGCCATATGTTAGTTGGGATGAGCCCTTCGTCATTCAGGTGCCTGTAAGGTAACTAGGTTGCGCCAGGTGCAATTTAATCCCACATGGGGCTCACAGTGCAAGAGATGTTCATCAACAAATTTTATAACTTGTTGCAATAACCACCTAAGTCACAGAAAAAGAAAAGTGTAATGAGTTCTTGGGACATGAAGTACGAGGGACTTTCATAAAGTTTGTAGACAGAATTACTTGTACTTACTTTAAAAAATTATTGTTAGTATACAAGCAGGTTGATTCATTATGTGAGCATAAGTAAAACCTTAGACAGATCATGTACTTATTGCATGTATGTCACTGATCAGTTTTGACGTCGCTGTGTGAAAATGGAGGAAATTACTAACTTTGAGAAAAGAGCGGTTGTGCAGTATTTGCGCTGAAGAGAATGCCAATAACAGTAAGAGACAACCCTCTTGCCTGTTCAATAGTTGCCAAGTAGCATAGGAAATATACACAGGGTAGTGAATAATGTAAACAGACTGACCGCTGTGGGTGGCCATCAATGTCAGTGACAAGACAGCGTTGATAGGTTAACAGCATCATTAACCTGGGCAAAAGAAAGACATTTAAAGCAACGGCAGAGTCCGTGGGTACGGCCATTGACGGTGCGAATCCTATTTTGATGGATAAGCTGATGTTACCAAAGGTCAGTGGTCGTTGGGTGCCACTGATATTCGGCAGAAAGCATATCGTGTTAAGGCGATGCACGCAAATTTGAACCTCATCAAGAGGATCCGATAAGCTTCTGCTCTCGTATAATGGTTATGAATGAAACATGGCTTGATTACACACATCAGAAGCTAAATGAAAAGCATGGTGTGAAAAAGTAACAATTTACCACCAATCAAGAAAGTTCACTTATAGTACTCATGAGTAGCAGGATTTTAGTTGCAAATTTGATAAGGCTTTCATCCCAATAGTTCACAAGCTACATAGCAGAGCCTAGTCCGGAAAAGCGCCAGACGCGTTTCGCCCTATTGGGGCTCGTCAGTGGCGCGCATTCCCTCGGTCCTCTAATGAGGATCGAACCCATGACCGCTAGAGGCAGAGGCCAACTAGCCAGCAGCTTAAGCCACTGAGTCGTGGGGGACGTCGGCTGGGCTACATAATTTGCAAACTAGCTGGGATATAGCACTACCTATCTACCACTGTCACGGACAGTGGTTAGCCTGCTAGGTGATGACGTCCTCTAACTAGACGCTATACCTATAACATTTTGAAACTAGGAGAGGCATTTGATTTTATAGTACTCATGAGTAGCAGTGGTAGATAGGTGGTGCTACATCCCAGCTAGTTTGCAAATTATGTAGCCCAGCCGACGTCCCCCATGGCTCAGTGGCTTAAGCTGCTGGCTAGTTGGCATCTGCCTCTAGCGGTCATGGGTTCGATCCTCATTAGAGGACCGAGGGAATGCGCGCCACTGACGAGCCCCAATAGGGCGAAACGCGTCTGGCGCTTTTCCGGACTAGGCTCTGCTATGTAGCTTGTGAACTGTTGGGATGAAAGCCTTATCAAAGTTCACTTAGCACCCTCGGCTGGAATGGTTATGGCCTTCATTTTCTGGAATGCCGAAGGAATACTTTGGATTGCTTAACTGGGTCAGTGTGCCTCAACAAGGTGTCAGTATGGTGCAGGCTTAATCCAACAGCTTCAGGAAACTACTGGAATAAAAAGGTAGAGCAAGTTAAGAAAGGCACCTGCGTCCTTAAGGTGACGCTTCCAGTCACCCCTTGCGCGTTACCATCGAGATAATTCATGAATCAGGATTCAGATTACTTGAACATCCACCCTATTCTCCAGATTCTGCTACCGGTGATTTTTATTTATTTTCACGTCTCGCTGATCACATTCGTAGCCCATAAACTTGCTTATAATTCTGACGTCATTGCAGCTGTATTAGTGTGGCGGCAGCAGCAACACTCCAGCTCTTACAGCAAGGGTATTATCCTTAGAACGTCATTAGGCAATGTATTGCAGTCAAGGGATTTTACGTCGAAATTAAGCAAATTGATTTTTTCCACCAATTAGCTTCAAGGATCAGTCCATAAACATTTTGGACAACCCTCGTAGATCAGAATATGCGCAGTCGGGTTTGCTACTGGCGTCAATTTCTAACGCGCTGCACAGCTTCATGACGCGAGTTGGGGGGAAAGGAGGGTTAAGATGATCTGCAAACTCAGCAGTCGCCCACAAACAAAATTTGTGCACCCTTCTAATAGAATACATCAAATCCAGGGTTAACAGCCAATAGGAAAGCAACTGTTCATTAAATCAATCCGGTGGTGCAGACAGGAGAACGACCTGAAGAATCGCGAAATAGACCATAAGATCCCACTTTAAAATAGACAAGCTAACAAAGAGCAGGCAGGAGAATGTTGAACGTCCACTGCGCTAGCAGAAAAGATGTATTTGGCTAGAAAGTTAATTCACCAAACGGTAACATTGTCATTAAATTGGTTAAAAGCGAAATGTATTGCACGGGATCAGTGACAACAAAATTGTCCAAAAAGCGTGTCAAGGAGCTGGGGCATTAATACGTCATTGGTTAAGAGCTTAGCACCGTGGCTTGCAAAGCAGGTAGTCCTCCATATGCCCGGAAAAGCACTAGACGGCCGCTTCGACCCGTTGGGTCTCATGAGTAGTGCGCTTCCTAACTTTTTAGAGTTTAGGACTCTGTTGGTCACGCCAGAATATCCAAGAGAGCTTGAGATGGTAAGGAGTTT